CTGAGTTCAGGGTGACATCTGGGCTTGGGTTATTGCCTAGGACCAGGTCTGAGGCCCTGAAGCAGCCAAGGGGGCCTATGTTGATGTCCATGGCTCCTGTTGTCACTGAGGGTAGCGTGAAGGCCTGTGGTCTGGGCCACCACGTGGGGCTATTTGGTATCTGAGAACCATGTTGCCACAAGGACCATGTCAATCTGGGTGACCTATTCTGCTGCATGGGCCATAATAACATCTTGGCCCAGGCTGCTGTCAAGGACCATGTCTGGGTACGAGTTCCTACCACAGCCAGGGTCTTGGTTTATGTTCCTGCCTGTGAGGCCACTTGGGGACTCATGGATGCCCAGGGACTAGGCTGCAACCTGTGATCATGTTGGTTTCTGTGCTGCCACCCCTGGGCATCCAAGTTGATTTGAGTGGCCAGTGCTGTCACCTAGGGTCATGGTATCCTCCAGACCAGGGCTGCTGCCAAGAGCCATATCTGGGTCCATGGCCCTGACTGTGTTGATGTCCATAGCTCCTGAGACCATCAAAGAGTATGCCAACGCTGGAGTTCTAGGCTACCACCTGTGACCATGAGGGTGTCCAAGGGCCATGGTATCCACAAGACCAGGGCTGCTGGCAAGAGCCATATCTGGGTTCATAGCTCTACAACAGCCAGGCTCTGAGTTGATGTCTGTGTCTGCTGTTACTACCAAGAGCCATGCAGATGACTGGAGTCTGGTCACCCTGGGTGACAGGTGCTGCCACATGGGGCCATGGAGTTGTCCAGGCCCAGGCTTCTGCCAGTGCCATGTCTGGGTCTGTGACCTGAAGTGGCCAGGGTCCGGGGTAATGTCCATGGCTCCTGTTACCACCAAAGGTTCTGCAGATGCCCTGGGTCTAGTCAGCTACCTGAGACTATGTTGGTGTCCGATGGCCATGCTGCCACCAGGGCCATATTCATTCAGGTGGCCTGTGTTGTCACTGGGACCATGGTGATGTCTGGGCCAAAGTTTCTGCCTAGGGCTAGCCTGGGTCCATGGTCCTTCTGTAGCTGAGGTCTGTGGTGATGTCCATGGCCTGTGTTAGCACAGTGACTCATTGGAACCATGCTGAGGCAGGCCCACCCTTCACTGGCCCTGGGATAGCTGGTCCTGCCCCTCCCTGGATACTGCAGCAGGAGAGCCGGCCTAGCTCCTCAGGAAAGAGCTGTCCCCCACCCCCTGAAAGATGGCCACACCCATTATCACAGGCATGCCCTTCACCTGGGCAGCACTCTAGAGCTCACACTGTGGTTAGGGATGCAGGTAAGAAGACTCTGAGGGTCTGTGAGCAGGAGAGCTGATCCTGCCACTCCATCTGCCATGTGGTGGCATGGGTGAGAGAGAAAGATGTCCTCTCCCCCCACACCCATTGTCACCTGCAGCAGGTGAGAGAACTGGCCCTGGGGTTACACAGTAGGGAGCTAGCCCTGACCCTCACTGGCTGTAGCACACGGGAAAGCACTCTGTACAGCCTTGGCAGCACACTACAGCTGACCCTGTTGTCAGGGATGCAAGTGAGCCAGCCCTGAGGGCGTGAGAGCAGGAGAGTTGCCCCCCTCACACACACCTAGTATTCCCCCTATAGCAATCACAAGAGAGGGACCTGCACCTTGCCTAGGCAAAACAGTAAAGCTGGCCCTGGAGGTGTGAGTGTGGGTTACCTGGATCTGAGGACCTGAAAGGAGAACTAGCCTGACTCCTTGCTTCAGGCTGCATTGGGTGAGCTAACTGAAGCCATGCTGGAGAGCTCCCCTCCATGAGGTCCAGAACTAGGGCTATGAGTTAGCCCACTCCAACGTCACCTCATCTATGAACTGTTGCAGCAGGTGAAGGGAACAAACCTACAGATCCAACACATCAGGATCTCCACAACACAGGACAGCAGCAGGAGTCCCAGTGACAGCCCACTATTGTTGGCAGTGTAGCATAGGCCAGAGGGAAGCCTTGAGCCAGACGAATAACTCGTGGCAATACACATTTGCAAGTAAAGATGAATGGACTAAACGGTAAACTGTGTGACTCAGTGGACCACCACACTACAACTTCCATGACAAAATTCTCTCTCTCTCTCTCTCTCTCTCTCTCTCTCTCTCTCTCTCTCTCTCTCTCTCTCTCCCTCTCTCTCTCTCTCTAATTTGTCTTGTGTGGTTTTTTGGCTTTTCCTTTAAATTTGGTTTTGTTTTGGCAGGGAAGGTTGTCAAGGGAAGAGAGTTGGCCGAGAAGATGGGGAGATGAGTGGGATCAGAATATATGATATGAAATCCACAAAGAATCAATACAAGTAAAATAATATTTACACTGAAGATACCATCTATCTGAATATTCCCACCCAAAAAAACCAACCTCCCGAGTAGGGCAGGAGAGATGACTCTGTGGTTAAGAGCACTCGCTCTGACAGAGGACTCTGGTTCAGTTCCCAGAGTGCACATGGTAACTTGCAACTATAACTGTAGTTCCAGGGCATACCCCTCCTGTCCTCAGTGCCAGGTATACATGGCTTGTGTATAAAAACATGCTGGAAAAACACTCATACACAGAGAGATGAAAAGAAAAATAAATTTTCAAATTTATCTCCTCACCAAAAGCCCCAGGCCAGATGGATTCAGCACAGAATTCTACAGACCTTAAAAGAATACACACCAATACTCTTTTTATCTTAATGCATAAAATAAAAAAGGAAGAAACACTTCCAAATCTTATGAAGCCAGACACCCAAACCAGATAAAACCTGACAAAGGAGGAGAATGACAGGCCAGTCTCACCATGATCAAGTAGGTTTCACTTCAGGGCACTCCAGGGATGCAGAGATGGTTCAACATATGTAAATCAATAAATGCAATTTACCACATAAATATATCCAAGGACAGAAACTACATGATCATCTTTTTAGGTGCATTAAAGGCCTTTCACAAAATCTAGCATCCCTTTATGATAAACCCTGGAGAGACTATGGATGGAGAAAATACATGCCAAAAAATAAAAGCAAAGGATGGCAAACCAATAGTCACGATCACAGGGTATAGAAAAAATCTTGAAGCACTCCCACAGAACATGACAAGGCTGTGGGTGCCTGCTTTTGCCTCTCCTGCTCAACAGTGCTTGGAATCTTAGCTAGAGCAACAGGACAAGAGAAGGAAATAAGAGGGACACACATAGGAAACGGAGCTGTCAAAGTATCACTGTTTGCAGATGCCATGGTTCTACATGGCAGACTCCAAAGACTCCACCAGGAGACTCCTAGAAACTAATGAACACTTTTAGCAATGTGACAGGTTAGGGAATTAACTTGTATTTTTTCTACATACTGAAGGCAGACTTAGAAAGAAATCAGGGAAACTACCCATTCACATTAGCACTGAGAAATCAAGTTGGCACCAGGAAGCTTCCTCCCACTGACTAGCTTTCCTAGGACCAGAAGGTTGATTGGGAAGAAAACTCATCATCTGTCTCTACCTAACTGTGAATCCTGCAAGCTATGCTAATGATCAATATGGCAATATGTGCCCATGGAAACAATAGTGGCACAAATTATAGGGGTAACCACCCACCTTCTGAATCAGGTCTACTTCACAAGAGAACACGCAGGTGTGGTGCCATGAATCTGCTCAAAACCAATGGTTGGAGAGCTCATAGGTCCCAAGAAGTAAAATCCCTACTGTTATTTTGTCAAGTGGACACAGTATCAAACTGCCCTGTAAACGAATATAGATTAGTGCAACTCTCAGACCTCACTGAAAGAAGTTCCTATGTTCAGAAGACAGTGGTTAGTGCAGAAACTCACAACTGGCCAAAGTGTGGAGAACAAGTCAATGGAGTGCTAAACCACAAATGTGACACTGTGTCAACCTCACCCCACAAGACTCAGAGACCATCGCAGAACAGATGAGAGGGACAATAAGAGCTGGAGGTCAGGGAGGAGTAAGGCAAACAGTATTGCTGCTCTCCTGAATGCACAGCTGCCTGAACATGACTAAGGCAGTCAATAATACCCCCAGCATGCATGGGGGAGGGTTCTCAGGCCTCCCCACCAGAGGAACTATTGACAGATATGGCTTCTGAGGGGAGAATTGGTTTTCTTTAAGGCTGTCATCCCTGGAAAGTGGACCAATCCTCCAACGGATGGCCCCAATTCCATGAGGATATGAGCAGCAAAAATTGGACTCAGTAGGTTACAATTTTGAGAAAAAGGGAAAAAAGGATAAGAATTTGTGAGGGGATGAAGGTAGGCATACACCCATATGAAGAAATCAAGCTTTTGCCACGGAGGGGGAATTCAGAGTCTACGAGAGGCCAAGATGCAGATAGAATATGAAACTGAAGCATTCGGGCAGTTAGGTCGAACCTTACCAAGGTCGCGAGGTGGGGCGGGATTTTCTGTCAGCCAGACACTCCTGCCCACATAGAACAAGAAACTAGTCTAACCAGCTCCAGCTTCTGCTTCCCGTCTGCTAGGGGATGGTCTTTTCCTGTATCCCAACAAAGCTTTCCAGGAAAGAAAAATGCTCTGTGGCTCTTTCTAGTGGTGACACTGAATCACAGGAAGGTTAAACTATCAATGCCAGACGCAGTGCCCAGGGCAGTAATGTCAGTAGCACTTGACAACTTGGGTTTAGGTTATAATTCTCCAAAAGTAGTCACGCTTTCGATATTTCTATTTACGAAAACACTGATAATTGAGTTATAACGATAACTGCGATAACTAGAGAGTTTCATAAACACCTAAAAATCAATAGATTAAATTAACTAAATGAGAATACTTAAGGTGGAAAATAGATGCCCAATGAAGAATGGAGGAGTTAGAAGAGTCCTGGATCAACATTTCAAAATAAGTTCATTTGTCAATATGTCCTCCCAGAATTATAATATCCACTTAGCTTTCGCAATCCACAGACACAGGAACCTGCTTCATTAAGATTCATGCTTTAGTGACAAGGCCTTGAGACTGGCTTGTTCTCAGCACATCTCTCTCCCACTCACCTACTTGGAAAAAGTGAGAGTAAGGCTCTATTACTTCTCAGTTCTCTCAGATACAGTTCCTTGTGTTTTTCCACTTCCATCTTACAGGAATTGTCCTGTGTTCTCATTTTAGAGAGCTCAGAATCGGGCTTCATCAGCTCCGTCTGACTCCGCCGTGTACCAGCATCCTCCCTCCTCCTCTTCCCTGGATCGCCTCTGGGTGCTGCCTCCACCTGAAACCAATTACAACAGTTCACACATCAGAATGCCAGGAACTACTGTGAACTTGGAGACTTTTCAGTTCATACTCATGACTCAGCAGCTGTAAGCATGCTAGACATGGAATATACATTTTGAGGAGACACTCCAGGGAAAATAAGGTGACCAGAAAAAGGGAGTAAGAGGACACAGGGAGGGCAGTGGGATCTGGGAAAAGAGCAACAACAGATGATGACATATGTACATGAAAATGTCATAGTTTCTCTTCATGCTAGCAAAAAAATGAGCTCACCAAATAAAAACCGTACTGGAGCTTAAAATATTTTTCTTCAGTGTCACCTGTATTAAATATGACTAATACGTATCTGTGATGCATACTCTGCATGTGTGTGTGTGTGTGTGTGTGTGTGTGTGTGTGTGTGTGTGTGGAGTGCTATGCTTTGAAAGCTGACCTCGGCTCAAGCTAGACACGCTGAGTTGCAACCTCAGCTATAAATCACCTTGTGTTAGTTCCTATATAATTTCATAATTCCAAAAATAATAAAACCAACTCAGAAATTTTAATCACAGACACTGCAACCTGAAGAGGAGCTAACAGGTTTCTGGGGTTTCACCCTAGGAACCCTATAAGAACAACAAAAACAGTAAACACAAATGTCCCTCCACTAATGTGTCTGTTATGGGTCTGCATATCTCTAGCTATTGTAACTTATAAAATCATTAGTGAGGGTGTATTAGTGAAGGGAGGAAGGGATTATTTTAGCTTGAAGCCTGAAGTTTCAGTGTTGGGTCTATAAAAGGCTCGGATGTGAAGTCCAGTGTAACTTCCTGAGCCTGGCTAGAGTTTGGCGACCTGTCTCTGACCTGGAGCATCCACATGGGGTGACTCAGCCAGACCTGATGTAAGCTAGCTGTCTTCCTAGCTACCTGCCAGCTTGGTAGACTATTACAGGCCCCTACTCCTCATCCTCTCTCAGTCCTATATAAGTTCATACCTGTTAAAATAAACTGAGCTTCTGCTTCAACAGTCTCCCAGTTCAGTGCGTACCACACCACTCCCACCCTCCAGTCACAGCCCATCACTGAGGGAAGTCAGGGCCAGCCCCAGGGAAAGAGAACGGCTGGACTGCCCCCCACCTGCTAGAGGATTGGCAGTTCAGTCCATCATGTCATGGAAGTCACAGTGGAAGGATTCTGAGGTGGCTGCTCACATTATATCCACAGTCAGGAAGCCCAGAGCTGTGAATGGTACCCAGATCTCTCTCCTTTGTTTATAATCTAGGATCCCAGCCCTGGGAAGAGTGCTGTCCCCTTTAGGGCAGGTCTCCCCACTTCAATTAACCTAACCAACATAATGGCTCACAGCATGGATAGAGGTTCGTCTCTTAGGTGGTAAAGGATTTGCTCAAGTTGGGAATCAAGGTTAACCGTGACAGAGAGCAATTTCTTCACTGGTGCAATGTGGTGTTCACAATGCAATAGGAGTCAGCTTCCAGGAAGGAAAACACCAACGCCAAGATGCCAAGAGCATCTGCTTGGTGCATAGGTAATACACCTTTCATTTTATAGCAATCATATTTCTATCCTAGTGATACTGTGAGAACCACAGTTACATTTTAAGTTTTAATTACTATGCTCTAATAGATCCATGGAACAAAAATACCTCTGACCTACAAGCTCCTTGTCCAGTGACAGATGGTTCCTGAAATGCTGGAGGCTATGGTTTATGGGAGATAACAAGACACTTGTTTTCACTCCCCTAAACAAGTTTGTTTGACCCATCTGTACTGGGTATGCTTGATCACATGGGAGGTTCACTGGCAGGAAATATATCACAATATGTACTTGCCCCTGATTGGATGTAGGCTAGAAGTACATCCGGATGTATCCGGATTGGACCTGACAGAAAATACTTAAGCTGCTGCAAACTGTGACATAGTGTCATTTTTTATGGGAAACCTGGCCAGTATTTAAATAAAGCTTGCTTCAAATTTGGCTTTAAATATTGGTAGTGGTCTTAATCTTGACTGGTGGGATTAACAATACAACCACCTTTCAGGAACATAGACTGTTTCATGGTTGAGAAGCTCAGACACTGACAAATTTCAGTGCTAGGAGTCCTAGGTTACTCTGTGAGGTCCAAGTCAACCAAGAATCCATGTCTATGTTTTTTTATTTTACTGACATACTTTTCTTTTTAAAACTCCAAAAGAGGAGGGAGGACAGTTCTCTGGCACAAATAAGACTTAGTATTTATTCTTGACAAGGAGTAGAAATTGTAAATCATTTATTTCCCAAAGCTGTCACAGTTAGCTTCAGTTGTCACCCCTAGGCATAGAGACCCAGGCTGCTTAAGAAATGTAGCTGAGCAAACCATTGTGAGCAAGTCAGCAAACAGCATTCCTCCATGGTCCCTGCTTCAACCCCTGCCTTCAGGCTCCTGACTTAAGTTCTGGCCCTGACTTTCCTCAGTGATGGACTGTGACTGGGGAGTTCTACAGTGAAATAAATGCTCTTCTCCCCAGGTTGGCTTTGGAACATGTCTTAGTTAGGATTCCTATTGCTGTGATGAAACACCATGACCAAAAAGGGAGTTGGGGAGGAAAGGGTTAATTTGCCTTACACTCACAGATTGGAGGAAGTCAGAAGAGGAACCCAAGCCAGACTGGAACCTGCAGCTGGAGCTGATGCAGAGGTCATGGAGGGGTGCTGCTTACTGCTTTCTTATAGAACCCAGGACCACCAGCGCAGGGATGGCACCACCCGCAGTTGACTGGGCCCTCCCCACAGATCACTGATTGAGAAAACGCCTCACAACAGGACCTCATGGGAGCATTTCCTCAACTAAGGCTCCTTCCTCTGATGACTTTAGAGTGTGTCAAGTTGACACACGAAACCAGCCTGTACAGTCCTTGGTTTATCAGCAACAGAAAGCAAAAAGGTAAGAGTCTGACAATGAGAGAAATGCAGGATTCCTCATGTAGCCACTGCTAGATGTAAGAGTTATTAAAAACTTTTATCAGAGACTCAGACATATTCACAACAGTGTCCGAAGCAACACTGCTGATGACAACCAAAATGTGGAAATGAAGGGATGTGCCCGTCAGTGGTTCGGTATATGAAACAGGACCACCACTATTTCTTATTAATCATTACACCAAATCATTTAAGTTCAGCCTATTTCTGTAAAGCCAGAGGACTTACAACTCTACTAATAATAGTAGAAACATAACTGATACAAATGTTTTTATCAATATGCCTTTTCATACCAGATAACATACTCCTATGGAGTACCACCTGAGAAAGAACAACTCTCTTCTGAATTAGTGGCCTTAATGAGAAACCAATGAAACTGACTCACCACACTGATTCCTGCACTCAACCGTTTCCCCCCAGAGTGCTTCCATTTCCTTTGCTTGCTTTTCAGTTGTGACAATTAAGATGGAATTTTCAAGTTCAATCCTAAATATTTTAAAGGAATTATTCTCACAGGTGAAATTTAAATGCCACATGATTTCTAAATAATTGTCTTAAAAGTAATTTTGCAAGTTCTTTGAAAAACAGGATATTTGGGAGATGAATCATTTTCCTAGCTGTGCTGTGAAGTTTGGAGATTGTGTGAATAACTGCTTTCTCCCTTTCTTGTCATGGATGAAACCAAGGCGGTATGCAGGCAAACGTACATTCACCTCAGCCTTCCACACATGCACCTCTGCCTAAGTGAATGTGGGGCTCACACTACTCTGCCCATCTGCCTCATAAACACTCCAGCTGTCTTTGCGACCTGCATGCATTTATACCTCTGAATCTTACGGCACAGCATCTCAGCAGCTTTTAGCATCCCCAGTGCTTTTTGCAACTAGAACAAAGAGAAGGTGAAAGTTACAATTAGACTAGGGCAATTTTGTCCATCTTCTGTTTGTCTGAGTGCAGGCAGACCCTTCCTCTGCATGCTGTACTGTAGTTGAAGAGCTAGCAGACCTACTTCGGCAGGATCTGGTGACCCGGAAAGTCTAATATCACACTGTCTGTTTTTTTCCAGAAGTATCTATGACCCCAGCACTAGTTTTGAACTATATTTTATCAGATATTCAAGGTGAAACAATTGGTAAAATAGAGTAAATTCCATGTGGTAGTAGTAATGTAATTTTTTACCTCTGAACAGCTCCTCACTGACCTACATTTGAGAAGCTGTATCTGTGATGATAAAAATTAACATGGATGCCTCCCTCAGATGTCATCACTGTTCTATGGCTGTGAAGAAATGCCACGACCACGGCAACTCTTTGAAAAGAAAGCATTTAACTGAGGGCTTGCTCACAGTCTCAGACATTTAGCCCATTATCACAGCAGTGAACACGACAACAGGCATGGCAGACTGGGCCTAACATAGGCTTTTGGAACCTCAAAGCCCACTCCCAACTCACACTTCCTCCCACAAGAGGACACACCCTAACCCTTCTCAAACAGTGCACTGCATTCAAATATATGAACCCATGGGGCCATTCTCATTTAAACCACTACAACGTCTCATGGGATTATTTTCAGGGATGGTGTCTACACCGATGCCAGAATGTCTGGGTCTTCATCTCAACTCGACAGTTATGAGGTGAGGGATCCTGAGCAAGTTAATGTTTTGTCTTGGTTTCTTCATCTGTGCTGTGGAGATATTGAAAAAAACCACCACATTGGATTGGTGCCATATTGTCAAGGAAGGTACAGATGGCATGTTATAAGATACATATAACATCTGTCACTGGCATTAGCATCAAGATTAAATTTCATATTCCAAGGTGTGAGAGGAGAGTTCTTCTTGATGAGCCCTTTCTCGCTTTAGTAAGAGTGGCATCGTGTGGTGAATGAGACTCCTAATGCATCCTTAGTACTTCTTGAAATTTGACCTATTATACCAGTGTTGTGCAGCAGTTTTCCTGGATGACAACTTTCTGGAGGAGAGTGGAGATCACAAGACTCCAGAAGCTCATGAAAATTACTAGGCTCAAGATGACCACAAACTCACAGGACCCATGGGGCCCCCCAGGAGGTCAAACAATACTTGGGAGAAAAGACTCTTCCACAGAGCTGCCTGTACGCTGTGCAGGGAATGTCTGAGCTGTCACTATCCTGGGGTAGGCTTTTCAGTGATGCAGCTGCTCATGTCCCCCATGCTTCTCGAGGGATCCCCAAAACTCACTGTTGATTACAGTCCATCTTGGGCAGCATTGTTCGTCTGGTATGTCATTGTTGTTGCATCTAATGTGAATAGACACCGAGTCACATCTCCACAGAAAAAGCCACACAACAGCTGGACAATAGTACTCCTGCCCACTGAGAACAGCTGGTGCCTCCTAGGATCTTAGGGCTACTCCGTAGGCTGTGACAGTGCAGTGCAGTGCAAATGGCATCTGCTAGAATAAGGGACATGGATGTGACATGACCCAGGGGTGGGCTAAAGCCACTGATGGACTCTATTGTGGAATCAAGGGCCCTCAGTCTGTTCCAACCACTGACACGCAAGGCTGCTTTGTCACACCCCATGGGTGTTAAGCTGTTGTAGAATGGTATATAAAAGAAGCTGCTTCACGACTTTTCCACAAGTTATGTGCTAAGCATCTACAACCTCCAGTTCTGGCTACATAAGGAAAGAATGTAGGTATAATGTTTCTATCTTGAGGCAAACAGGAGCATTTAATTAAACATTGTCCCCTATTCATTAAGTGCATTTGATTTTAAATTAACTTTCTCAGAATATATTAAAAACAAAAGCTCCACTGTCCTCAGGAAAATTAGTGGTATGATATATATTTGCTTAAGCAAATATGTTCTTAATTTAAGAAAAAGTACCATATGTCATCTAATATTCCTCCCAAGTTAATTTATGTATAGGCGATATTTTCTCTCGTGCAAAAATAATTAAATCAATGCAAAGTTGAAGGATAAACTGTTCTGAACAGACAAGTTCTAGATGGACTTTGGACAATCAGTCTAGTCGGAGAAGGCTTTGTGGAACAGAAAATGGTGAGCTGCTCCTAAATAAATGAGGCCAGAGAGTAAACATGAAAAAGCCAGAAAGAACAGCACGAGGAAAGGCAGATAGATGGCACCATGAATTCATCTACCTGGGAGGGCAAAGTCCTGTGTTCAAGAAGATAAACAGATTAAGAAATGTAATAAAGTGGGTGGTGACCTCAGGGCACGATCCCACCCAGTTCAATTTCCAATTGGTGAAAAGAAGTTAAAGCAAAGCTTAGAGTTGGGTGTAGTGGTGCACACCTTTAATCCCAGCACTCTGAAGGCTGAGGCTAGCAGATCTCTGAATTCGGGTCCAGTCTGGTCTACAGAACAATTTGAGGTACAGCCCAATTTAGGCAGTGAAGGAAAACAGAAAGCTGGTGAGAATGTAATGGAAGGAGGGGGCCACGTTCCAGCTCAGCAAGCAGCAGAACTTGGCAGCTTCAGCCTTATGGCTCCGGAGTTAATGATAAAAGAAATCAGTTATGGAGTTTGCCTCTGAATCTAAGAAAAGCCAAAAGCCACTGAGGCCAGGCATGTGTCAAGGGTATCCCTGAATGGAGGTCTAGAGAGGCCATTGCATGAAGCTATGAAGTTGAAGCCTGGATTGCCTTGGAGACCCCAAATATTAGAGATGCTAGAGCCATGGGATACCTGCCAAGGAAAGTTGCTAACAGGGATGAGAACCAGCCCAAGAGAAAGAAGTGTGTTACTGTAAATAAGCTGAAAGGAGTTGGAGGTCTGAAGAGCATTTTGATATCAGACCGGAGAGGAAGAATTTGGAGTTTTCCCAGCTAATTTTCAATCTTGTTATGGTCCAGTATTTCCTTACTATGCTCCCTGCTCTAGTTTAGAATTGTAAAGCATATCCTGTGCCTGTATATGTCGGAAGTGTGTGACATGTTTTTTATTTTGATTTTACAAGGGATTACAGTTAAGAGATTGCATGAATCTCAGGAGAGACTTTGAACCTTACCCTTTTAAGTAAATTTGAGACTGTTATAAACTATGGGGACTTTGATGTTGAACTGAATGCATTTTTGCATTATGATATGACTACAAGTCTTTGGAGGCAGGAGGTGGAATGTGGTGGTTTGAAAGAAAATGGCCTCCAAATGGAGTGGCACTACTAGGATGTGTGGTCTTGGCAGAGCAGGTATGATCTTATTGGAGGAAGTGTGTCACTGTGGAGTTGGTCTCTGATTTCTCATATATGCTGAAGATACTGGCCAGTGTCTCAGACCACTTCCTGTTGCTTGCAAGATGTAGGACTCTCAGCTCCTTTTCTATCACCTTCTCTGCCTGCCTGCTGCCATGTCCCACCATGATGATAACGGATTAAACTTCTGAAATTGTAAGCCACCCCAATTAAAATTGTTCCTTTATCAGAATTGCCATGATCATGGTGTCTCTTGACAGCAATAGAAACCCTACGACAATTACTCAGATTCTAATTTCTTGAGTGACAGCTTAATTTATCAAGGAATAAAAGAAGTTCTTTCATGTAGGCAGAGGAATTAACATTACATTACGAAACATTTAACTAACATCATTATACTTTCTAAGCTAAGTAAGCCTGTATTTTAGCATAAAAATGCCTAAACTGACATTTATCCTAGGCATTGCTGAAGGCCAGGGTGTAATGATTTCACTAAACCCACGATAAATGATACATGGGTGTTTATTGGGGGACACTTTCACAGATAATAATAAAGAACAGGGGGAGCATTTCTCTGTCCTTCCAATCAGATCCCTTGACCCAAGAGAAAGAGCCCACGAGAGAGACCACGTCTCACACTTTCCTCTTTCCACTTCTGTTAGCCTGAAGCCAAGCCAAAAGGGATGTGGTCACCTTTGCAGGTTCACAGGCAAGATGCCGCTACAGGTTGCCCTTGGCTTACCTTGCACACCATCATCCAGATAATATACGATGAGAATCCACTATAAGCCAAGATTTACAACAAACAAAAATCAAATCTTTTCATCATTTACTTTTAGGATGAGATGACATTTCAAGTCTAAATAAAAGTCACGTGCCACAGAATGTTCTTGTCCCCCATGTACCACATGTACACAGTGGTCCCACCAGACTGCTGGACATAGTGCTGTGGTAGAGTACAGGGATTGTGCAAGCACAGAGTTTGTGTGAGCACAGGACTGTAGTGTTTCTCAAGTGAAAGTTCAAAGACCACATTTCTCAGGTTGTGTCCCTGTCCATAGGCAAAACACAACTATATGTGTCAAATGGAGGGAGTGTTACAGGTTATATTGGTGAAATAAAGTCAAAGTATGAGATTTTACCAAAGATTAATTCACCTCATTCAAAGTTTTTTCCTCAATTTCTGCCCAAGAATACATTTCAGGATGTGTCACATCAAGTTTCTCAAGGTATTGCTGTCTTTCTTTAGTTCTTGAGTTTTCAATGTTGCCATAAGACAACTGTACATTTATCATAGTCTTCTCTCCGTGTGAGGCAAATCTGCAATTAAAGATGCTGTTATTGAAATGACCTGACTATCAGTTACTATCCAGTAGAGTTTTGTTCATTTCTCACTCAGAACTTTTCCAAAGACTTACACTTAGAAAGTAAAGATGTAAGCATTTTGTCATTGGTCAATTTCTCTTCTTACTAATTCTATTTAATTTGGTTTCCCAACAAAGTGGCAACTTGAAAGTTCTTTTCTACACATCTCCTCAATCAGTCCAGGTAATTTAAAATTAAATAATTTTGAAGAAGTTAGTTAGCTGAGTGTGGTGGCAAATTGTTGCGTTTGGTTATTAGAAAAATCTAATTGGTGTCTTGCAGCCATTAAGCTGTGATTTAGAACAACACCCTTTATGTCATGGTTGACAAAGTGTTGTATTTCCCTAAAAGTTCCACACCTAATAGAGCATTTTCCCCCTAAGAAGTTGAGTCTACAATGACAAGATGCCCCTACATTTGTGCAGTAGAACTGGCATTACGTACTTTAAGCTGCAAGAATCTTTTCTCCATGTCAATCTTTTCTGCTGTGACTGTGGCCATGTGTTTCTTCTTGATGACAGCTCCTCTTGAAGGCCACTAAGTTTATAGTTCATACTTATATTTTTTTCTGTAAATAGATCACAATAATGGTCTTTGAGTTCTATTACTCTTTCAATTGAGTCAGCTAAAACCTGAATTTCCAAAAGCCTTGCAGAATCTACATTAAGAAAAAAACATATCTTTAAAAATACATGCACGGAGGAAACTCAATACACCTGCTTGCCATGTCCAGGCCACACCTGCAGGATTTTACTCTTTGCTGTGGGCATCTTTTCAAATGATTATGTCCAAAGCAACTATTTGCATGGGGAACCATTTCTTTCCTTTCCTTTACTAAAAATTAGTATATAATCATACTCCAATGTGGGCAGAATCCTCCCAAGTTTTTGAGGTTCACATGTTACACTCTTCCTGAAAAGATTCAGACATTATACTGGCCTGCTCCTGTTACCTGGCAGAATGCACTCAGGCAGTTCTCTGGTCAGCCAAGGGTTCCATGATTACTAGTCTGCACACATGTGTAAAGGACCCCTTTATGAGACAGACCCCACCCTCTTACACTCTCCTCCTCTCTTTGCTCTCCCTCTTCCTCTTCCTCTGTTATGCTCTTCATCTCTGTCACTTTCTCTCCCCTATCTCTGCTCCCAGTTGGCCAACACCTAACCACCCCATCACCCTTCCACTTCCCCTTTTCTCTCTTCTCTTCCTCTTACCCTCTTCATTTCTCTCTTCTTGCCGCTCACCCCTTTCTCTCTCTTCTCCCTCCTTCGCTCTCACCCCCACCTTGAATAAACCCTATGGCTAATGTATCTTGTATTTCATGTTCCATCTCGTAACCATAAATTTAAACAAAAGAACAACACTTCCATGAAGGCCACAGAGCTTCCCATCCTGGCAGGAGCCAAGCACCCCAGATCCCAGGTCTTCTCTTCCACCAATGAGACCAGGGTACCAGCTCGTCCGGCTGGACCAGGTAAAACAGGCCTTGAATCTGGGCCTATATTCCAGTGCCTGGGGATTCCCTGGGAACTGCCACAGAGCTTCCCATCGCAGCAGGAGCCAAGCACCCCAGATTCCAGGTCTTCTCTTCCAACAATAAGACCAGGAAACTAGCAGATCCAGGTACCAGGGGACCAGGTGGGAGGCTAAGCACCCCAGATTCCTGGTCTTCTTCTCCACCCATGGGACCAGAACTAGGATGAGGAATAGAAGAACTACCAGAGTATTGGACTTGCTAGCACCGACCAAAAGGGAACTCTGGTCCCCTAACCACCAGACCAGTAAGGGGCTCTTTCTGCACCCACTAGGAGAAGAGATGGGAAAGAGACAACACAAAAACACACTCAGCAACGAAAAAAATGACACCACCAGATTCTAGAGACTCCATACCAGCAAGACTCCAACATTTCAATGCAAATGAAGCAGAAGAGAATGACCTTAAATACAACTTCATGAAAATGATAGAGGCCCTAAAAGAGGATATAGGAAAATCCCTCAAAGAAATGGACGAAAAAACAAACCAAAATATGGAAGAAATGGAAGAAAAAACTAACCAAAAAGAACTCAGGAAATGGAAGAAAAAACAAACCAAAGAAGGCAGAAAATGGAAGAAAAAGCAAACCAAAAAAATGCAAGAAAAGGAAGAAAAAGCAAACTAAAAAATACAAGGAATGGAAGAAAGAAAAGAACAAACCAAAAAATTCATAAAATGCAACAAATTGATAAAAAGATGAACCGAAAATTGAAAGAAAAAATTCAAAGAGTGTAAGGGTTGAAAACTGAAATAGAGACAATAAGAAAACACAATCTGAAGAAAGGCTGGAAATAGAAAAGCTGGGCAAATGGTCAGATACAAGCATTACCAACAGAACACAAGAGATGGAAGAGAGACTCTCGGGTGTTGAACATACACTAGGAAAAATGGATTCATCAACCAAAGAAAATCTTAAATCCAACAAATCCTTAACACAAAACATCCAGGAAATATGGGACACCATGAAAAGCCTAAATCTAAGAATAATAGGTATAGAAGAAGGTGAAGAAAACCACCTCAAAGGGGCAGAAAACATATTCAACAAAATAATAGAAGAAAACTTTCCCAACCTAAAGAAAGACATGCCAATGAAGGTACAAGAAGCTTACAGAACACAAAATAAAGTGGATCACAAAAAAAGTCCCCTTGCCACATAATAATAGAGACCCCAAATATGCAGAATAAAGAAAGAATATTAAGAGCAGCTAAGGAAAAAGGCCAAGTAACATATAAAGGCAAACCTATCAGAATTACACCTGACTTCTCCATGGAAACTCTGAAAGTCAGAAAGTCCTGGATAGATATTCTACCAACACAAAGAGACCATGGACGCCATCCCAGACTACTATATCCGGCAAAGCTCTCAATCACTATAGATGGAGAAAACAAGATATTTCATGACAAAACTAGATTCAAGCAATATGTATCCACTAACCCAGCCCAACAGAAAGTTCTGGAAGGAAAACTCCAACCCAAGAAAGTTAACTACAATCAGAAAAACATAGGCATTAGATAATCCCACTTTACCAACACCCAAAAGAACAAAGGGGTGGAATTCCACACATAATTCCACCAACAACAACCATTCCAAATCAAAGAAGAATGAGCAATCAATGGTCATTAATATCCCTCAACATTAATGGCCTTAACTCACCCATAAAAAGACACAGGCTAACAGAACTGATTCAAAGACAGAAGCCATCCTTCTGCTGCATACAAGAAACACATCTCACCCTCAAAAATAGACATTACCTGAGAGCTAAAGGTTGGGAAAAGATTTTCCAATCAAATGGACCCAAGAAACAAGCAGGGGTAGCAATCCTAATATCTAACAAATTAGACTTTAAAATAAAATCAATCAAAAGAGATAAAGGAGGTCATTACATACTCATCACAGGCGAAATCCACCAAGATGAAATTTCTATTCTGAACATCTATGCCCCAAATACAAGACATCCACATTTGTAAAACAAACATTACTAAAACTTAAATCACATATAAAGCCCCACACACTTATAGTGGGAGATTTCAACACCCCACTCTCACCACTAGACAGGAATACCAGACAGAAACTCAATAAAGAAGCAAAGGATCTAATAGAAGTAATGACCCAACTGGAATTAACAGACATCTATACAACATTTCACCCACATAAAAAAGAATATACCTTCTTCTCACCACCACATGGAACCTTCTCAAAAATCGACCACATACTTGGCAACATATCAAACCTCAGCAGCTACAAAAAAAGTGGAATAGCTAATAGCTCCAGGCATCTTATCAGACCACCATGTGTTAAAATTAGAATTCAACAACAACACAAATTGCAGAAAACCTACAAACTCATGGAAATTGAATAATGCACAACTGCACCATTCCTGTGTCAAAGAAGAAATAAAAAAAGAAACTAAAGACTTCCTAGAATTCAATGAGAATGAAGACACAACATTCCCAATCCTATGGGACACTTTGAAAGTATTGCTACGGGGGAAGTTCATAGCACTAAGTGCCCACATGAAGAAACTGGAGAATAGTTATACTAGAGAATTAACAGCACAGCTTAAAGCTCTGGAACACAAAGAAGCAAACTCCCCCAGGAGGAGTAGATGCCAGGAAATAATCAAATTGAGGGCTGAAATCAATGAAGTAGAAACTAGGAAAACAATACAAAGAATCAATGCAACAAAGAGTTGGTTATTTGAGAAAATCAACAGGTAGAGAAACCTTTGTCCAAACTTGCCAAACAGCAGAGTGTGAACATGTAAACTAGCAAAATCAGAAATGAAAAGGGAGACATAACAACGGACTCTGAGGAAATTCAGAGAATCATCAGGTCATACTTTGAAAACCTGTACTCCACAAAATTCAAAAATTTAAAGGAAATGGACGACTTCCTGGATAGCTATCACTTGCCAAAATTAAATCAAGAGCAGATAAGCATTTAAATAGACCTATAACCCCTATGGAAATAGAAGCAGTCATCAAAAGTCTCCCAACCAAAAAAAAAAAAAAAAAGCCCAGGTCCAGATGGCCTCAGTGCAGAATTCTACCAGACATTCAAAGAACAGCTTATACCAATTCACCTTCAGCAAGTGGCAGGCTACAAGATCAACTCAAGAAAATCAGTAGCCCTACAATATACAGATGATAAAAGGGCTGAAAAGGAAATTAGAGAAACATTACCCTTTACAATTGCCACAAACAACATAAAATACCTTGGGGTAACGCTAACCAAACAAGTGAAAGACCTGTATCACAAGAACTTTGAATCTTTAAAGAAAGAAATTAAAGAAGCCCTCAGAAAATGGAAAGATCTCCCATGCTCTTGGATAGGTTGGATCAATGTAGTAAAAATGGCAAACCTGCCAAAAGCAATCTACAGACTCAATGCAATCCCCATCAAAATCCCAGCACAATTCTTCACAGACCTTGAAAGAACAATAATAAATTTTGTATGGCAAAATAAAAGACCCAGGATAGCCAAAACAATCCTGTTCAACAAAGCAACGTCTGGAGGCATCACCATCCCTGACTTCAAGCTCTATTATAGAGCTATAGTCCTGAAAACAGCTTGGTACTGGCACAAAAATAGACAGGTAGACCAATGGAATTGAACTGAAAACCCTGATATTAACCCACACACGTATGAACATCTGATCTTTGACAAAGAATCTAAAAATATACAATGGAATAAAGAAAGCACCTTCAACAAATGGTGCTGGCATAACTGGATGTTGGCATGTAGAAGAATGGGGATCTATCCATGTCTATCGCATGCAAAAAAACTTAAGTCTAAATGGATCAAAGACCTCAACATAAATCCAGCCACACTGAACCTCTTAGAAGAGAAAGTGGGTGGTACCCTTGAACGAATTGGTACAGGAGACAGCTTCCTGAACATAACACCAGTAGTACAGACAGTGAGATCAACAATTAATAAATGGACCTCGTGAAACAGAAGCTTTTGTAAGGCAAAGGACACAGTCAGCAAGACAAAAAGGCAGCCCACAGAATGGGAAAAAATATTCACTAACCCCACATCTGACAGAGGGCTGATCTCCAAAATTTGCAAAGAACTCAAGAAGCAAGTCTCCAAAACACCAAAGGATCCAATTAAAAAGTGGGCTGCAGAACTAAATAGCACTGAGCTGAATTCAAGAAATCCAGTGACAGAGAGGGAGGACTGATGACCAAAGGCATTAAGACTGGGGTGGTTTAACCCCAAGAAACAGCTGACCTGACAAGGGTTAGCTCTTGAATCCCAGACTGATGCCTGGGAATCTAGCATGGGACTGATCAAGACACCCTGAATGTGGGTGTCAGTGAAGAGGCCTAGGCAATCTATTGAGTCTTGGGTAGTAGATCAGTATTTATCCTGGGTATACAAATGGACTTTGGACGCCCATCCAACAATGAGAGATGCACTCTCACCCTGAACTCCTGGGGGAGGATCTAGGCCCTGCCCTGGATGAAATGACAGACTATGGACACCCCCATGGAGGGCCTCACCCTCCCTAGGGAAATGAGGGGATATTGGGTGGGGTTGGTGGGAGGGCACAGGAGGAGGGGAGGGAAAGGGAGAGGGACCTGGAATTAACATGTGAAGCAACCTTGTTTTTAATTTATATATATAAAAGAACAACACTTCCTTACTAGGAGTCATCAGAACATTGAGGAAACACTTAAATATCCATGTCCACATCATACGGGGTGAATGAGACTCTTATGGGGAAACCTGGATTTGTAATAGTTCAGAACTCTCCCCCAGGTCACTGTAAGGGGCTGTCTAATCAAAAAGCAGATAAGCATTCCCCATCTTGTCTGTCAACCACACAACTTAGTCTTCTTATCATCCAGGGAAATGGCCAGAAGGAGAAATAAGACACCTTTTCTTCTAAGAACTCTAATTTCCCTGACCTGGGGGCAGAACAGGGACTAGGAATTTCAAGATGTAACTTGACTCCACTGTATTAAAATCTGGAGCAAAACTGTAGAGTTGAGGCAGAGTTTGAGCTCTTACCTACGGACTTGTTTCTGGCCAAATAAAACGACAATACACTACTGTGCACTGTCCCTCCCTCCGATCACCACAGTTACACTGTGCTGCTTCCTCGGGGATCTACTAGAAATCATCACTACTGATACGAATGCACATCAGGTGTCTTGGAAATAAGTTTGTGTCATCTGTGCTTTGTCCTTCTGTGTTTGCACGGTGTGGAGGGCTCATGGCCACCACTGAGGTTTTCATTCTACGTGGCACAGTGGGCCGCAGTGGTGCCTTGCCTGTGCTCCATGTTTTGATGAGCAACCTTTTCAGCAAGGATTGTTGCACATTCCTTCTTCGGGATTGGGAGGGCTGTGGCCCTGGGTTAATTCCTAACACAGATGAGTAAACAGAGCCCACCATTTCCCTTATTGATATAAAAGAATTTTCTGTAAAATAAAGACATATTTTTCAACTGAGAAAACTGTATTTTTTTTATCAACGTGTTTTCTGCTATACAGGAAGGATTGATCTTCATTTCAACAAATTGGACTTCATAAGGATTGCATTTAGCCTGGTGGTAGAGTTCAGGGCAGAATATGTTCTTAGCAGGCGCAAGGTCCTGGGTTCAAACTCCATCACCTAAATTTCAATGATAATAAGGACAACCAAAATTATCTAGATATTCTTTTGAGGCAGCCCAGTCACAAAAACTTTAACCTACAATTTTTCCTGACTACAAAATATGTTGGGCTAAAGATGGCCCAGAAATTGTGGTAGTGGCCAACCAATGACTGGTCCAGCTTAAGACCCATACCATGAGACAGAGCTCACCCCTGATACTGCCTGGAGGAATAGGACCTAGAGGAAGATACCAAGCATAGAACCAAAAAAGAATCAATGAAATGTTTTCTATTCACATTCTGCCATACTCAAAGATTGATGCCTAGCTCAATTATCATCAAAGAGGCTTCATCTAGCAACTGATGGGGCAGATCAGAGACCCACAGACAAACATTAGGTGGGGTTGAGTTAATCCTGTGAAAGAAGGGGAGGAAGGATTGCAGGAGCCAGAGGGACCAAGAACACCACAAGAAAACCCACAGCATCAACTAACCTGGACTCATAGGGGCTCACAGAGACTGGACCAACAACAAGGAGCACGCACAGGACTGACCTAGGCCCTCTGCACATGCTGCAGCTGTGTAGCTTGGTCTTGTTGTGGGACTTCTAACAGTGGGAGCAGGGGCTGTCTCTGACTCTGTTACCTGCTTTTGGGATCCCACTCCTCATACTGGGTCACTTCATCCAGCCCTAAATGAAGAGGGAGAGATGCTTAGTTTCCTTGCAGCTTGATGTACCATGGCCGGCTGATCTCCTCCTCTGCCCTTTTCTGAAGAAAAACAGAGAAGGAATGGATGAGGAGGGGTGGAACAGGGAGGAGAGGCAGAAAAGAAAACTGCAGACAGGGTTTAAAAACAAAAATATATACCAAAAAATTAGTAAATAACTGTTACTTCTGCACAATAATTTTAAGAGCTTTATTTGCTTACTTTATCTGCCAGAATAGATTTTTAGGTTTCAATTCCCAACATTCTTTCAGTTTTTATTGTTTTGATTTGTTCCATTTCACCCTGACAGATTATCTGAACAAAATAAATAATATTATCACAGGGTAAAAAAAGTCCAACAGTTCTTTTGAGGCTATTCTCAGGAAAGTATTTGAAAATAAAAACTGTATGATTAAAAATTTCATTTTCCTGGGCCTGGAGTGATGGCTCAGCACCAGCTTAATGCTCTTTCAGGGGATGTGAATTCATCCTCAGAGCTCACACAGGAGCTTACAGCCATTTGGAGCTCCAGCTCCATGGGACCTCACACCCTCCACAGGCGCCTGCATCTGCATACATGTCACACACACACACACACACACACACACACACACACACACACACACACACACACACAGAGAGAGAGAGAGAGAGAGAGAGAGAGAGAGAGAGAGAGAGAGAGAGACCAAAAATAAATCATTTCTGAAAGAATTTGGTTTTTCTTCTAGGACATTTCTCACTTTCATATTATCAAAAATTCCATCCAGAACTGATTTCATGATGTAGAAAAATATAAAGGTAACTTTTCTAGGAGCAATTTGAAAGGCATTTCCTTCTTGAATAATCATTTTTTCCCACTGAATAGGATATATCCTCAGGCTTGAGTTATAAAATCTTATGTGTATTTGGGTTCTCTAGTCTGTCTCACATATTTGTCTGACTGTGAGTAAGCAATTAACCTGTGGTCATGAATGGCATAATCTAATTCCCTTAGGGGCAAGTGCATGCTCATTACAAGTGTTTTCTCCCTGATATTTCACTAAAGAACTAAAAAGGGGCTTCTGTCAAATCTGCTTTCATTTATGTAAAATCAGTCAGCATAGTAAAAGCTTGAGTTAAGAAAACAGTGAGCCTCCTTATTCAAAACTGTGGAGCCAAGGCTAAGAGAAGATGACCAGGAGCAGATGGCACATGTCAAACAGTCTAAGCACAACTTTGGTTCCGTCTCCCCTCCAGGCTTGGGGACAGTGTCTGCTGGTGGTATAAATTTGCAGTGCTCTCCAGTGAAAATTCAACAACACATGAATGGAGAGCAACAGAAAATAGTACTGCAACCATAGGAATCTCCAGTTTCCTGAGGTTTTGAGAGCGATTTGTCAGCAGAGTCTGTCAGAAGTTGAGAAAAGAATTGAAAAGACAAGGTGTTTGGAACTTGGTGAGTGGGAGCCATGAGTTCTCTTATCTATTGGATGTTACAATTTAAGGAGGCTCCAGGTCTTATGAACAAATCACATGATGAAGAGGGTTGATGGGTCAAGTACTGTGGTACTGAGTAAACCCACAGAAGTAGGCAAGCTAATGGGTGAAGAGGCATGTGAAAAATACAGAAGCAGACTGAACAGCAAAAAGGCATCCCTGCATAATATACTGTGAAATAATGAGAGAAAAAACACACCACCATCTGCCACTTCACTCCCCTCCACTATGTCCTAAAAGTGCCCCAGTAAAGAACACAGGGACAGGGTCAGTGAGAGGACTCCGTGAGTAAGGTGTTCCCACACAAGCTCATGGAAGTCTACAAGATAGGAGAGAACGGAGTCCTTTAGGCTGTCCTCTGACTTCCATGCAGGCACTATGGGGCAGAGACACACACAAAGAAATAAATTAAAATGTAATTTTGAATTATTTTTAAATTACGTGTCTGTGTATGTGCACTTGCTAGTGCTGGTCCCCTCAAAGCCAGAAAAGCCATAGCATCTGCAGCCAGCATTATACATGCAGCTATGTACCACCCCCACCCGGATGCTGAGAGCAAGCTGAGGGCTTCTGAAGGAGGAGGGAGAGCTCCTAACCACGGAGAACTCTCTTGATCCCCTGTAATCGCTTTTACATAGTGACAAACATGTTCTCAAAGGGGAATTAAAAGAAAGCAGAACAGTTGAAGCTCTGGTGATGTGTCGCTCACCACAGTATTTGGATGGGTTCCCCGCCCATCTGTGGGAGGTCCCCGATGCGCATAAAGGTAGAATCAGCAATCTCTGGGTTTAGGGCCACCATGGAAGGCAGCCATTCTACCTCATAGCACAAACACCCCTCATTCACAGGTCTCCTGACCTGTCCTTCCTATCATTCATAGGAATTCTCTGGCCTGTAAGTTGGCCCTGCACTCTGGTGACATATCACATGCTGGCAGCCTTAGAGCTTTCTGAAGACTGTATGCTTTGAGAGTCTGGACCCATCTGAATAGTAAGGATGCTGCTGCCCTGGTTCCCAGCAAGGTCATTGTGGGAAGTCAAGGAGCCCACAGATTACCTACCCTGACTCCTCAGCCTCAGATCTACCTGAAACGGGAGCATTTGGGCCACACAGCCCCTCCCCTTTCCCTACCCAATCTAAGCCTTAGAGGAAGCCCCAAGAGCAGACCATTGTAGTTTAGGATAAGTACCAGACACCATGCAACCACGTCCCACAGGATTGCTCCCCTGTGCGGGGTCTGAAAGCCACAACACCAACAGACCCAAGGGTTTGCCGATATACCTCCCCTCACGTGGTCAGGACCGTTATCCGACAGTGCTTGTCATACACGTGAAACTTCCCACCAATCATATGAGCCCACGGGGACGCCTGGAACCGCTTACAGCGCCAGGTCCTTGTGGCAGGTCAACACAGATCATGTACTTTGTTCAAAGCAGACTCACATCACAGAAGGAAGCAAACTTTGGACAACACTGGACTTTACCTAGAGGGGACCTCAGGACACCGCAGTCCCAGAAAAATCTCTCCTGGTGCCCCTCAGCTTACTGTAGCTGGTGCCCTTCCACCCCGCAGGTGCAGAAGCTGGGGGAGCCTTGCTGACTAGAGCTGCAGTAACAAAGCTGTTGTCTGAAGCTTTGGAAAGACTGGGCTCAGCCTCCGCGGACACTGGCGAAAGCACCGTGCCTGCTTCCGGACGTCCCATCTCCTCAGCCTGAATACATGCTCTCTTGACTTTTATTTTCTTCTATTCAGTTTGGACCATGATGAAAGTTATTTTCATAAGTGTCCATTTGCCCGGGGACACGGTTTCCTCACTGCATGAAAATGCTGCTTTGAGAGACCGACTGCCAGTATCAGAGCCTGAAGGTGGTCCAGCAAGGACTCCTCATCCCTGCCTCCCTACTCCCCTCCTTTAGCTCATGATAGTCTCTGAAGCAGTCTCCAGTCCAAACTCCTACATCCCATATCTCTGGACCCCTGAGACCAGTGTCCTCATTCCCTCCCTCTACAGCCCACTCTGATGTCACTCTAGGTCTCCATCACTCTCATCTCTGCTCCTAAGATGCACACCCTGACAGATCCAGCCTACAACCTCCCAAGTGGCAACTGTGGAAGTCAGCTCACTGAACATTTGAGTGAGAAGATGTCCATGTGCAGCTTGCCACTCCCCAAACCCAATAGGAACCACAGGGGCCGTAGAGTGATGACAACACCCTGAAGAACCAGCTGTGGGAAGGAGAAGGCCACCTGGTATAACTCCGTGTCAGAGCCAGGGAGCACCATCTGCCAGTCATTCAAGGACTGCATGTCTTGCTCTTCTCCCTTAACACTTCCAGACAGGGCGATCCTTACTTATAAGACAGATCTTCAGAGTACCACATTCGTCTTCTGCATCCCCATCCTGCCATTCCTATCAGTTGGGGAGATTAAGAACAAAGGGGGTGGGGCTCACCTCAGTGACACTGCTGAAGACCTTGTAGCTGAAGAAGTGGAGAATGGCATTCTGATCTGGACTCCCAGTTGAATAGGGTGGATAGTCAAGTCTGGAGAGACAGCTCAGCAGTGAAGACCACTGGTTGCTCTGTGGGAGGACCAGGGTTTAATTTCCAGCAGGCACATGCCAGCTCACAAGCATCTATACCTCCAGTTCCAGGGGTGCTGATGCCATTTCTGGCCTCTGTGGGCCTGAGACTCTCACATAATACACACACATGCATGTAGACAAAGCACTCGTACACATGAATGAAAATAAGTGACTTTGCCTTTGAGAGAAATAAGTAGTCTATATTGTCCTGGGAGTTTAAATGCTGCAAAAGCCACAGAAATAAGAACATTGTCTTATCAATAAGAGCATAATATATGATGTATCATAACATAATGGGCAAACAAATATATTACCAAAAGTTAAACTTATTAGTTAAGTAGACCAAAGGTGAATAGCTTACCTATGTAACAGATACATAATTTGTAAAGATACTTGGAAAACATCTTCAACAGTTAAAAGTATAAATTGAAACAACAAAGCATTATCACCATTTGGACAACTATATGGAACTTGAGCAAGATGTCTATGACAAGATTAATGGCAAGAGGAACTCTGAACTGTGTGTGTTATTAAGCATGCGGACATGGACAGGAAAAAGAACACAAAAGCTGGATGTGAGCTGGTCTGCTAGGATTTAGTTTCAGCTTCATATTCTGGTTCTCCTCTGCTCTATCTTGGTATTAGCTAAGCTGCTGGGGAGAGGAAGGTACAAAAAGGGCAGTCAGAGAACCTGTTCCCTGATTCCACACTCCACAATCCTGCACCCATTTCAACCAGAGATTAACTCTTATTCTTTTTTTTTTTTTTTTTGGTTTTTACGAGACAGGGTTTCTCTGTATTGTTTTGGAGGCTGTCGGTCCAGCCCGGCCTCAAACTCACAGAGATCTGCCTGCCTCTGCCTCCCGAGTGCTGGGATTAAAGGTGTGCACCACCACTGCCCGGCTAACTCTTATTCTTAAAGAACCAGGAACATACATTAAAGACCAATGTATGAACAGAATTAAGTCAAATATCAATTAAACGTATTAACATGATGGGTGATAATGTTGGTGATTTTGATGCTGATACTACACATAGCATTGTTAACCATAATCATGGTAGCATGAGTTGACTCAGTTACAGCCAGGATCCCACCAGACTGAGATGTCAATCCCTACCACTTTTTGGTTGTGATGAGTATAATCTGTACATTGATGCAGCCTATACCATTATCAAACTGTGGTTGATTGAATATGAATGTCCCCAGAGTCTCAGGTTTTGAATACCAAGGCTCAGGTGGTGATGCTATTTGAGCCTTGCTGGAGGCAGATGTCACTGGGGTGGGCTTAAGGTTACAAAACCTCCATCATTTGAAGTTTGCTCTCTCTGCTTCCTACTTGCTGTTTAAGATGAGATTCCTCAACTTCCTGTTCTTGCTGCCATGCCTCAGGTACACCAAGATGCACTAGTCTCTGTCTGGAAACCAAACCCAGGTAAACTTTTCCTTCTATAAGTTGCCATGGTCCTGGTGTTTTATTACAGCAATAGAAAAGAATCAAATATAACGACCTCTGCTTAGTGTGAAAATCATTTACATATAAACTCCACTCAGGTTCTTTTCTAACTATCTTCCTGGTACAATATACCTCTGTGTAGTGTGCTAAGTCCATTGTAAGCACAACCACTTGACTCATAATGTGCATTTACCATTTCAAGTTATTAAATGAAAATATAAAACTTTAAATTTCACAGAGTTCAGGGACTTCAGGGTTTGTAGCTTGAGAATGTACCACAGATAATTCCTAAAAGTAGGAAGTGACAGAGTGACAGACACATGTCTGAAAACTAATTTTCTTCCTGTAGTGCTGGGCATCGATGACAGTGTCTCTCTCACACATGCTAGGCAAGGGCTGCAACACTGGCCTCTTTCTGATATTAAGCAGGCAGCCCTGTGCCAGGCAGCTGCTGAAGAGCAGCAAGGGTGCTACCTAGTGTTTTTCAGAGCTAAGTCTCCGAGGTTCCTTCCCTTTCCAGCTGTTAAATGGGATCTTTGCTCTGTTCTGCAGGAAGAAGCAGGTCTATGACCTGCTTTGATCCTGAGTGTTTGGGAAGAAGAAACCACAGCGTTCAGGTTTGACTACAGTAAGTCTACATTGAATGGTAGACTGATGCAAGTAAGTGAGATGGTGAGTATTCACTGTAGATAGACGTGAATTTGGGAAACACTAGGAGATTGGTGAGGTACAACTGAGTGTGTGTCCTGTGGTGACTCTTCTGAGGAGGATTCACTGTTGAGGTAACACCCATAGTGGATGTGCACTGCACTATCCCATTGGTCTGAGTTCTGGACAGAATCACAGAAGACAGCCAGCCAAGCACCTGATTCTCTTCTGCTTCCTTACTCAACATGGAATGAACTGCTCAATTGCACCTTGCATCATGGCTAAGGGACAACTCGGTTTTCCCCACTGTGCTGCTGGCAAGTGCTTAATCACAGCAATGATGATGCCAACTTTAACAATAATGGCAACTGAAGAGATAACTGAGGCTCTCAGCCCATGAGCAGAGTAATACAGTCTCTGTATTATACTTTAGGTAGTACAAAGTTTATACTGGAAACGTCTGGTTTTCACTGTGTATGTATAAAATATAATCTTTTGTATTATTTCATTGTTATCAATTTGTGATGTTTTCATTTTTAGCTCTTTCACTGATAAAGATAAAATATTCAGTTTTTATTCATTATTCAATATTATGACTCAGCAGTCCCTTATTAGCTCTACTGAGATCTCATGGAGGCCCAGTCTTTCCCACATAATTAATAATCTGTGACCTGTAAGAGCAGTTTCCCTTTCTGTTTGTGTATGGACACACACATCTTCACTATCTTAAATTTCCTGTACAATCGTGTTGCATCCAGTTCACTGCCCCTGCTGTGGAGGACTGGCACACTCTCACTTCCTGTTTCACCAGGAAGATTGATACCAAACCACTCAGGATGAGGGGCTTCTGAAAAACTACATACCTCCATCCTATCTTGCCCTACACAGACCTTACTGAAGGTCAACCCCCAAGCTGTGATATGGACTCTCTGATGTCTGGACACTTATGTTAGCTAGCTGAGACTTGCAGGATTTCCCCCCCTATGGAAAATGCCATGGTGATTGATGGGTGGGATCCCTTCATTCCTAGGAAGCTATAGTGAGCAGATATGTGACCTCTAGAAGTTCTGGACACCCTGATTGCCTCACTGGAAAGACAAGTCCCTTAGATGCCCAAGGTGACATGTATAGGACATCAATAGATCGTAGTCACCAATGGAATTGTTTTGAGAGATCCAGAGAAGCATGGTAAGTTCTGTTGGCTTGTTTGTGGGCCATATCCATAAACACTGGAGGAAATATAACTAAAACCTTGACATTGTAACTCACAGACTGTCCGCAACATTGAGGAAAAGTGAGGCGATACTTCAAGAAAATCAGCATGGTTTAAGCATCATCAGTAGCATGAAACACTCCTGAGAACTCCAGACACTCACTCTTCAAATAGTGCACCAAATATTGGCAATGGCGGGTATGTGTCCAGCTTGCACTCATGAGAATCAGGCATCTCATGACATCGCAATTAGTCCTCATCAGACCCTAAAATGGTACTGCTACCTAGTGTAAGGAGAATGAAACTAACGCAGAAACCTGTTTGAAGGACATCTGGGCAGCCTGATCTCTAAGCACAAGACCCTAGCTGCTAGGAA